GATATAATTACGATTTTTTCCGGTTTTGTTCAAATTTGATTTTTTAGACGATTTGAATTGGTTGGATGATTTCGAATCGTAAAAATCATACGATTTTATGATTCAAATTGTGATTTTATCAACTTTGATCTTGGGTGAGGCAACGTTTTACCGGAGTTTTTTGAATTTATATGGCTGTATGTATGCGTGGGATTGATGGTTAGTTTGCTTAGGTTGTGTTATTGTGGGTGAGCCATGTACTTTATATATGACTGCATTTGTGAGTGGTTGTTGGTTAGTTTGTTTATATTTTGATGTAGTGGACGACTCATGTATTTTGTTAGGTGAGGCAGTATGTTGTCAAATCCTTTCTCATATTGGTTTTAATGGTTATCCAAACAATAATATACCACCCAAGAGTAGAGATGTTGTTGATGATCATCTATCATAGGGACATTTCTAACCATTATTTGATTTCCCCTTTTATCTAATTCTATGTGTGCTAATAATTTGATGTTTTGTTTTATAGGAAAAGATAGTCATGAGAAGGATGAAATTGAACAAAATAATGAAAGACGCATGGCATGCCAAATCTCCAGGCTACTTGATGGGATGTTAATGCCAAACACACTCGATTGTAAGTTGAATTTGAGTCTCCTGGTAAGCTGTGATTCGAGATTGAAGACATTCTGAGGTTGGATCATTGTTTTGGAAGGTTATCTATCAAGCATTGTCTTAGGGAGGCGAACTATGTGCACCGCTCATTCTTTAGCAAACGCTGGTTCTTATATTAATAGCTTTAGTGTATTTATAGTATTGCTAGTTTACTCTCAAACGTACACTTAAGATACTGCTTTTTTTTTTTCGTTTTAGGGGTAAGGTATATGTCCCCCCTATTTTTGTTGTATAATGTCCTCTCATTTTGAATAAAACTTGACAATATGACACCCTCTATTCTGTTTAGTTATATATATAATAATAATTATTTAATAATTAAATGAGACATTTGTTACCTAATTTTCTCAGGTGTTACATTTGTTTACATTAAAGACCGTTACAGTTGTAGTTAATCTATAGTAACAATTGTGGTAACTTTAAGTTGGTTGAGAAGAGCGTTACAATTGGTTCTAAAAGTTGTTACATAGCGTTACAATAGAGAAAAGGCAACGCCAGCGAATGTAACGGCACAAAACTGTTACATTTAGTATATTGTAACGGATTTTTGGACCAATAGTAACAAAGTTGACCGTTACTAAAAGCCCTTAAATGTAGTAGTGAATACTAGTATACATTTTTTAACAGAATTAAAATACATCTGAGGATTAGACCGGCATTTCTTTGTATTACATACGGAGTATAATCCTAAAGTTTGCATGGAAAGGAAAATCAATGTCATCACTTTCTCCTTGTTATGAAACTATGAAAATTATTTCCCATAAACAATTACAAAGTGTCACAATTGAATTTTTTTTCTAAAAGGCGATATTTTTCATTTTCCTTGATCCACAATTGATATAAAAAAAGGCGTCTTTAATTTTTTTAGCTATCATGATGATGCTACAAGTCCAGCCGCCCAAACTTGTTGTGAACTTAAAATTCCCCCAAAACAATTACTTTCTTTTTTAGTTGCAACGGTCAACATTTCACGCTTGCCAACACACATATTTGACTGTAATTATATCTTAATCTCTATTAGTAAAAACAAATTTAAAATCAGATTTTGAAAATTTGTAATGAGATGAATTGAACAATTTTTTTTTGAAAAATAATTTTCATAAAATAATAGTGTAAAACGTAGTCAAAGTAGAACATGTGAATAATGTAAAATTCAACATGTTGCGTTTAAAAAACGGAGGATAGTACTTCTTAACTTTTAGAGCTTGTTGTAGGATACATTTATGATGTTTTTACTTGTACTATTTTCAATCTCAAATAAGATCAGATCAGATTTGAATAGTTTTAAATTACACAAAGACTAGACATTTATCAAATTAAACCAGACTAAACCATATATCATGTCATATCAGATGAGACCCGAAAATGTTGGTCCAAGTAAAAACATCATTAAGGGGCTTTGTTTTTATTCACCATAAAAGTTAAAACCTCGTCCAAAGTTACAATTTAAACCCGGGGTAAGTACCGTGAACATAAATACATCACTCTAAAGCTAACCTAAAGAGTTGATGTGGGTTTAGACCATTTTCATAATGTGAAGCATACGTGCATCATTCTGCCCGGAAAATCTCTATCGAGAATCATTTTTCAGAATCGATGGCAATTTTTTCGAGGTTTTGTTTAGATTTTTTTTGAGATAATTCTTTATTTATATCGGAGGGCATAAATGAAATTCGTATTACTTCGTTCACATCAAGTCTTTCACAGGTTATTAGAAGACTTTGAGAACTAATCCTTTAAGTGTCGCTTTCACAAACATGTGAACACAATGAGTTTGGCTCACATGAGATAGTAAAACTTGTTATTAATCGTATGGATGACAATTATTTCTACCAGGATGCTAAAGAGCTCACAATCTCAGATGCTTTAATGGGCATTGATTTAGTATATTCTGAGTGAATGGTTGATACTTGAGCTTTTCTAATACAACTGCTGCATTTGATTCTTCTCATATTTGTGCCGTTTTAGACTATTCTATGTCATCTTTTCTCTCCAAAGAATATGATCGCATCATTACACTTTTCATAGAGTCAAGGAGTGAATATCGATCAACTCATATAAGGGTGGGCTTGCTTCTGAACAAGGCGGTGCAGAGAAGAGGGATGCTGGGTATAATACTAGTTTCAAAGCAGCTCGAGCTGATAGCCTCTTTGAGCATTCAAATTTTTGAGATTGTGATATGTTGGAGGCCGACTCTTCGAGGGGATTTTCTCATGTAATCAGCACTTTGTAGTGCTTTATAATGAGACTGAAGTACTGAACAAAGCTATCCATTCTTAGGGGTGATTTCCTTGACCATGCTTCAAAAAGTGAAAAAAGGACTCCACCGTAGTCGAGGGATTATGGGATTCTAATACGTATAAATCAGGATATCTTTAATAAAGTGAGATTGGTCACAATTGAAAATTGTTTGCCTACATTGAATATAAACACTCAAATTAAATTATAAAGGAAAAGGCGCTAGCGATCGCATACCATGAGGAATAGATCCCAATCACGAGTGGAATTTAACTGTATACATTGAGATATTTGGGTCCCCTGGACGATTTTCTTTGTATGTGATTTGGGTAGGGTTATTGGTGTCTTTAATATCCACTTCGTTTGTTTTTTTGTTTTTGTTTTTGTTTTCCTTTTGTTTCTTCCTTCTTAAGTAACTTATTTTCTCCTTTTCTAATAATTTTTTTTATTTCTCGCAAAAAAAAATGGGGATAATAATTAGGGCTGAGGAAAAATACTGAAATTTCGATATACCGCATTTAGCATATAAAAAATACCGGATTTGCCTAAAATTTAGTTATACCAACATTTAATTTGCAGTATGATATGGTACCGTGCCAAATTACTTCAGTATGTTATCAGTATATGTTTTGAATATAAAAGGTATACCAAAATACAGTTATACCAAAAGTTCTTTTAAAAAAATTATTTTAAATTATAAAAATGACTAAATACACAACATCATATTAGGGATAAATGATTTTATATCCATGTTGTTTGATTTTTTTTGGGTTAGAAATCACTATTTTTTTAGGGAAGTTAGAGATCACTATTGATTTAATTATATCTATATTGTTTAAGTTATTTTAGAAAAATGTGTTATTTTTTAATACATGGCATGTTGACCTGCTTAAATATACTAATGATAAATGTGTTATTGTTCAGTATTGAATAAATATGACAGCAATAGATTATTATTTGTACTTTGTAACATTTTAGTAATGGATTAAGTATGTCGCTAGTAACGATCATTTTGTATATTTTGTTAGTCTATCATAATTTGTTATAGTGAGAGAGACATACATAGTACTACGTAATTTATTGATACAATTACTTAGCGAATGGATCTATATCCGCACTCAAATTATTTTTAGAAAAAAAGAGTTACACATTTATAAACTACATTAAATTAAAAGTTTTACAAAGTTGCAAAAATCAGAATCAAATTTAATAAAAAATTGATTCGTAAAATAGGGGATTAAGAGTGATTAGTGTTCCATTTGATTGAATAGGAAAAGTATCCTACAAAATGAGACCGAGATAGTAACATACATAGGCTTTAATCGGTAAATTACAACCTAAAAAACCATTTGCGCTACATCATCCAGTTAGAGAACTTCATGAAAATTTTTTAATTGAAGAAATGATTTGCACCTATCCGGACTTGGAGGGTTTGATGGTTTTTTTCTAATTTAGAGGGACATTTGTACTACTCGTATTAGGGGGTGTTTTGGAAGTGATTCTGCTTTTGTTTCTTTTTTAAAGCAGAAGTAGAATCAGAATCAGTTTTCAGAAGCTGGTCACCCCTGGCTTCTAAAAAAACTGATTCTAGAAGTAAATTTGAATACCAGAATCACTTCTGCACTTTTATCCAAACACTCCAATTTCTGGAAGCAGTTTCATCCGTCAGGGAGCAGAAGCAGTTTTAAGAATCAGATCCAAACACCCCTTAATGTTTGTTGGAGAGCTGGTTTTTTGGTTTGAAAAAACTAAGCTGTTACAGTGTTACTAGAGAAACTACTCCTATAAAAAGATGACACCCCATCCCTGAGGGCCCCCCACCACCGACCGGACGGCACGATGGGAGGATGTAAATTGGACTATAATCACAATCTGACAGATAGAGAGTGAGGCTCTGTCCCCGGAACTTGCAGAGACCCTATGCATTTTTCAGCATAGTAACCCCTCATCGCAGTTGCCGGGATTCGAACCCGAGACCAAGGGTACTCCCATATTCTAGGCTTAAAAAATGTGCGTTGCGCAGGTGGGCCCTTTTATGCGCATCAAGACCCCACGTTTTATACGAGTATAAGACAGAAATGGCATTCGTACCCATGTCATTTCCACAGCGCCTTTTTCAAAAAACTGTGGAGAGATGAATCCAGAGATAATCATCACTGTTGAAGACGAACGCGCCACCTCCCGTTCGTACACCGTCGATTTCTTCGACACTCAGATCTCCGTCACCGTCACCAAAGCCCCCTCCGTGGTCCGCAAATGGATCTCCACGACCGTCTACCTCCGCAACCGCCGCCGCTTGTTCGGCCGCCTCGTCGTAGGCGTCGGAGTTCAGTGGAGCCCCTACAGAGGAAACGATCCTCCTGCTGACACTCTCCAGCTCTGCGTCGGCTGCCGCTGCTTGATCTTCCAGCTCTCCCACGCCACGACAGTGCCGTTCGTCCTTCGCCGCTTCTTACGCGACGAATCGAACACCTTCGTCGGTATTTGGACTGACTCGGACCAGAAGAAACTGGCGATGGAGCATGGACTGGAGATTCACAGGCTTCTGGATCTGAGGAGGTACGTGGAGACGGATGACGGAGAGAGGCTCCATACGGAGTCCGTGGAAAAGATTGTGAGGGAGTGCTTAGGGTTCGAGGGTGTGTGTTTGGATCAGGCCATCAGCAGGAGCCGTTGGGATGCTCATTTCCTGAGTTGGGATCAGGTTTTGCAAGCAACTGTGAAAGCGTATGTGGCCTTTCAGATTGGGAAAAACGAGCATGCTTGGCGCCATTCCTCAACTGATCGACAGATCTACTTCTGATGAGACCTATAACTTCGATCAATTCCACTCGATCTCTTGATCTCAAGTTTTTTTTGGAAATATCAGTCTCTCGAATCTTCTATGCTAGTTGCTGCCCGCCTTTAACTGATAGTTTTCCTTTTTTAGTTTCAAACAAAAGCATTTCAGAATTCGGAAGGGAGTCAATTTTATCGGAAGTAATGGTGAAAATTGACTGAAATGCCTTCCAGATTTTGTTAGTTCTTTGGATATCTGTTTTTGGATAAGCTAGTCTGCTTTTGTTTGGATAAACCAGTGCTTTGGATAGTTGGTTCGCGAAACTAGGGATCGTGGAATCTTTTTTGGACAATACAAGAGAGTAATGATTAATGAGATTATCTCTGAATGAGTTTTAGATTTGACTATACTTGGATAATCCCGTTACATGAAATTATCAGTTACTTATAAAACAACCTAAATTTTTTTAATTCTTTTGCCTTAGAAAATGTAGTAGAATTGCGCATGGTTTTTGTGTGTTACGTTTTGGAATTTAAAGATTTGACTGTTACGTTTTTTTATTTATTTAAACAAGTAACTATTGACTGACAGTAAGGTTTGGAAAAATAATGTTATGTTTAAAACGTTAAGTTTTATATAATACTTCGTACTAAACATGACATTAATTCTATTTTGAAATTCATAGAGAGGCATTTTCTTTACTTTAATTTAGTCAGTACTCTGTATATTAATTGCATTGGAGTATTGGAGAATACGGAGTGTGATTATGTGACCTCATTGTTGGGCCATTTGGTTTGCACACATTCAAATAAAAATAAGTGGAAATTTTAAAATAAGAGACATGTTTCCCACACAAGAGTAAATTAGTTTCGCGTGAATAAAAATAGTGTGAAATTTTAAAATATGAATTATATACTAGTGTTTCCCAGGGCGGCCCTGAGGGGGGCAGGTGGGGCAGTGGCCCTAGGCCCAAAAACTTTGAAATTTTTTTAGGCCCAGAATTATTTCTTTATAGTATGATTGAGTAGGCTGATTTTCAACCCAAAATTTTTAATTTTGTGCAGCCCAAAAGCTCCAAAAATCACGGAGTAACTAAACTAACGTCGTAACGCGCTAAGTTCAATCCCGTAAACTGAGTTCAGTTACTTCCGTAACCCTTCACCCCCACAGTTGTAGAGTCACGCAGGTCATTAGTTTTTAACATTTTCTTTATTGATTATGTGATCAATTTTTAATAATTACCATTTTCTTTTATTAATTTATTTGAATAATACAAACATGTGGATATGTGACTTGTTTATTAATTGATAAATTGATTGAATTGATAGTTGTTTAATGTTTATAAATGATTATGAATAGTTGATTTTTAATTAGTTTAATTATTATGGAGTACATGTTAATCACTTAATTGTTGATTATTACCTATTGATTGTTGGTGTTATAATTTATTCATTTTGTTAGGTAAAAATTTTCAATTTTCAATTATAATAAAACTATAAACTTATTTAATTTCAAAGTTTAATAAAAATGAGGGAATACGGATGGCAGAAAAAAATGAAGAAGAGAAGATTAGATAATGCTGCCGTAAGTAAAAAAGGTTCAATAGAAAAGTTTATTTTTATGAAGAAGACAAATTCAGAAGGTCCTCCCAAGAACTTTAAGGAGAATTGAAGAATGATTCAACAACCGAAAATGAAACAGTTAACAATGATCAGGTCGTAAGAGGTCAGAATTTAGGAGTTGATAACATTGATAGTGAGCAATCAAAAAATGAATTGGATAGATCAAATGTATCAACGTCAATTGTTGGTTATTTGATTTTGGATATCTAGATGCCAAAACAAATGATATTGTAATTGAAAAAGACCCTATAAAAGAGACGCAACTTAATTATCCTCTTAATGCTAAATGTAGACATTTCTCAAATGCATACTATACTATTAACATGATAATAAATAAAAATACACTTCAAATATTATTATTTTGCATGTAATTTAAAAAGAAACAACTTTTAGAATTTTTTTAAAATTTAGGTCCATTTTGAATTATTCGCCTCTAAACCTTCAAATATACAAGACAGCCCTTGCATGTAACATTATCGGACGTTAATTAATTAATACGGAGTACCTATGATAGGTATCATACTCCGTACTATTTAAGCACGATAAATACTCCTATTAAAAGAAAATATAATACCAGTACAAGTTCGAGATTGTTTTTAGGGGCAATTTCAATTCGTGTATATATAGGAGTAAAAACATTGATGAAAGGCACAAATAGGAGTGAAACGTTTTTTATTTATTTAATCAAGTAATTATTGACCCATTAGAGGTAGCTTTGTACCCCTTTTCCCAGTCGACCCGAGTATTATATAGTGTTTTGCCTTAAATTTAAAAGCTGTTCTCTTCGCCTGATCTGAATGTTTCTGATCTGAATTTTTTAAGTTCTGATCTGATCTGATCTGAATTTTTCTGATCTGAATCTTTCTGATCTGATCTGATCTGAATCTTTCTGATCTGATCTGATCTGATCTGAATGTTTCTGATCTAGTCTGATCTGATCTGAATGTTTCTGATCTGATCTGAATGTTTCTGATCTGGTCTGATCTGATCTGAATCTTTCTGATCTGAATCTTTCTGATCTGATCTGAATTTTTCTGATCTGATCTGAATTTTTCTGATCTGATCTGATCTGATCTGAATTTTTCTGATCTGATCTGATCTGATCTGAATAAAATAAGAATAAGTCATAAGTAATAAGAATAAGACGAATAGAACAGCACCTTAATCTCTTTTCCATGTTTTTTAGGATCAATGATCAAGGATTAAGATTAACTCTTATTAAATTTTTCATTTAATGAATATGGAGTACATTTTATTTGACCAAAGTACCACACCAATATATAAATCGCACGATTCTAATAACAAACGTTTTACATGCGATATACTCCTTACTACATTGTGCGGTTTGAAATTTACATTACTTTATAGACAAAATTAATTTGTACTCCCTCCCTTCTTTTTATTAGTCTCCTTAGGCTTTGGTACGGGTTTTAAGAGTAAAGTAGTAGGGATAGTGTAAAAAGGTGTAATGAGTAGTGGGTAAATGAAAAAGTAGGAAAGAGAAAGAGGTAATGCTAATCAAAGTGGGGGGTATAAAGGTATATTTAAAGTAAAAACTTTCCTTAAATGGAAAGGAGGACAGATAAAAAAACGTCCCAAAAAGGAAAGAAGGACTAATAATAAAGAACGGATGGAGTATACTACAATGTAATATACTCTATTCCATATTTGATTTATTATGGATTATAGATGAGATTATTCCCTAAATAGGACTAAATAAATCATTAATTGTTAAAATAGGAGTCAAAGTTAAAATTTTCCCAAATAGGAGGTATTATTTGGAGTTTGACAAAAATACCCCCAAGAATGGCAAAACAGGACAACAGAACTCCATTAGTCGCCGGCCGCCGGCTGCCGGAGCTACCGAAACCGCCGTAGGATTGGCCGCCACTGCACATCTGACAGTCGCCGGTTCAGATCCGACCATCTCCATCGTAGATCTGGACGCCAACCCCGTAGATCTAGCCGGCGGCAGCGTAAAACTGACTGCTACCACAGGTCCGGCCACCGCCTCTGCGGTCCCGGCCTCCGCCAGTGCAGATTTCGCATTCACCGTCACTGATGCCAAATTTATTATCCGAATGCCAAAATGAATCCCAAGTGCAATGTTAATGGCATTTTCAAAAGAAACATTAACATTTTTGAAGAGTGAAAATGCCATTTTAATGGCATTTTTAAATAACATTTGGCATTTTTAAAAAAATCAAAACAAATGAAGAAGATGAACATTGAGTGTTTGCCGTTGTTGTGTTAATATCAACCGAGGAAGAGGGAAACAGAATAGAAAGGAGAGATTGAGCAAGAGAACAAGATGCAAGAGAAAGGGAGAACAAACATCCTAAATTTCACAAACAGATCTGAATTTAAGCTTGTCATTGGCTGCTGCAAAACTCTCACCACCGTTCGTCGTCTCTCTTTCACCAGGTACCCGCCACTCGCTGCTGCTGCTCGCGACACCTTCGCCACTCGCCGTCGCTCGATGTTGCTCACCGCTGCCTACCCTTGCTTGCCTTTGTCCGTCACATTGAAAGTGTTGTTGGAGAGTTGTGCAAGTGTGAAAACAAAGAAATGCGCAGGTTTGAATGGGAAACACGAGTGCTGCTGGATTGAATTAAATGAAGGGGTAAATTGGTACAATAGTCTTATTTAGGGATTATAAGTATACTTACTCCCTTTTAGGAATTTAAGTAACATTTTAATCCTATTTAGAGCAAAAAAACCATTATAGATTTATAAGTGTAAATTGTTAAATGTTTAGGGTCAAAATTTCACTAAAAAGACTATTGTGAGGACTACTGGGGAGTATTACAAAACTCAAATATGCGCTCATGCAGACACATGCCCACATGGCTACCACATACTTAGGGTTGGTTAGCAACAACTTTTAAAAAAACACTTTTCAACTTTTGACTTTAAAAAAACACTTATTTTCTCAAACACTACAACTTTTATTTTTCTTGACTTCCGCGTCAAAAGTGTTTTTACTTTTTCTATTACACAAAAAGACTTATTTTATTAAACACTACCCACTTTTACTTTTCAAAATCACTTTTTTCTCAAACACTATCAACTTTTATTTAATCACTTCTCCCCATTTCATTAAAAAAAGGGATAAGGGTCAGATAGGGCCTCGAACTTGAAAAAAAATGTCAAATAAGGTCATATTTAGGATGCTCTGTCTGGCCGACACCATTTGGGGTGGTTCCAGATGAATTTTTTTGATGAAATTTTTTGAGCATCTTCCTCATTAAGTCTAGTTTACCCATACCAAATTTCAGCTAAAAATTCAAGCGGGAAGGCAGTCAAATGATTTTTTGAAGATAACTGTGAAGTTAAACAACGCAGTACATTTCGGAAAATCATTTGACTACCTTCCCGGTTGAATTTTTAGCTGAAATTTGGTATGGGTAAATTAGACTTAATGAGAAAGATGCTCAAAAAATTTCATCAAAAAATTCCATTGGGAACCACCCCAAATGGTGTCGTCCAGACAGAACATCCTAAATATGACCTTATTTGACATTTTTTTTCAAGTTCGATGCCCTATCTGACCCTTATCCCTTAAAAAACACTTTTTTAAAAGCAGAAGCTGTTGCAAATAGACCCTAATACCACAGCTCAAACGGTCAAACCTATTACTTAACTTCCTGGATAGGAAATAAATTAATATATACATACTTGCCATATACGTAGTATTTTACATCGACTTGATCGTTCAAAGAGTAGACACTGCAAAACATATTTTCAATTCAATTTAATATACTAC